ATTTGTAAGCTCAACTGTATATACTCAGATTAAATGGTTCTATGAACTGAACTTTGCTCAGGGCAATCAGAGAGAAGGTTGGATTAATACAATGCGCCAAACTTTGAAAACATTTTTCAAATAAAATAAGTTGTTTTATATCCTCATAGCGGTTTGTCTTGCACAGACTCTGGAAAAACCTAGAAGTTTGTTCTTGCTAAGACCAATAATTGAAGGAAGATTTGGCTTGAATTTTTATCCTCCTTTATCTTATTTTTGCTCCTGCACTGCATCCCCAGCTTCTCTTTTTTTGCAGTTCAGTTCGGACTGAGAGAAGTATTTGAAGTTTTTATTCAGGTTTTGAGATGTTAATGAGCAGCTCCCTGGTGCAAAAAACAAACAAACAAAAAATCACAAGGTTGCTGTGGTTACACATCATAGCAAATGTCCAAAAATGTAAAGATATTGATCTTCTCTGATGCACAGCATCCAACAACAGAGTAAATAAAACATCAGAAAAAAGAAACTATGATCCACAATCCGATGAACTGAGCTAAAAAAAAAAGGAGTATTAGAATCATGCAAGTAGAGCTACTTCAATTGAATTCTTCAATATATCTATCTACTTGAATTCTAAAATATCATTTTTACTTATAATTCCAAGCTTCTGTGTGTTAATCTGTCAGACTTTTAGGTTGCTTAAAAGCAAACATAAACTCAACTCACTTAAACTTTATTTATAAAGCACATTTAAAACAACTTGGGTTGACCTAAGTGCTGTACAGATATTACAGTTGCAGGAAATAAGGTAAAAACGTATAAGCTAAAATACATAAACACAATCCAATAATATAGAATGAAAAAAATTGATAAAATAAGTTAAAATTTAAATAAAAATGTAAATACATTTTTTTTTTTTTGCCAGATGTCCACTTAGACTTGATTAATAGACAGGGAGAAGAAGTGGTTTTTTTTTAGGGAGGATTTAAAAACCTCCAAAGATCCTGCAGATCGAATGTGCAAGGGCAGGTTATTCCAACAACAAAGATATAGGCCCCGTCCACACGAAGCCGAACCCTGGCCTAAACGCACAAATTTTTTACCAAACCAGCCTCTCATCCACACGAAGCCGGCGTTTCGGGGGTCTGTAAACGATCTTTTTTTTATTCAGCCTTCAGAGTGGGAAGATTCTGAAACGCCGTTTTCGCGTTTCCATCTTTAAGCTCTAACCGCATTTTTTTTTTACACGCATGCGTCATGGCGTCGCCTCTAAACACGCATGCGCGACACAGTATCACAACAACAATGGCGCCGTACTGTGTTGAATGGTTGCTGCTCATGCTACTCACCCTGCTGTCGGGCTTACAACAGAATCTTCTTCTTCTGGAATATCTCCAGGAAGAACAGAGCAATATCGACGACATAGTTCAGCACCTGAATTTGACTGAACCACAAAAATGGACCCGCAGGGCAACCATGTATAAATATTAGTGCGCATGCCCAACATTTCGTCACTTATTTTTGCTTTGGCACCACAGCGCCACTTACAGGCCTGGCATACATTTTGCAGCGTTTTCATGCATTTGTGTGGACGATCAGATTTATTTTACGTCTCCGTCTTTACGACAAACGTTCTGGAAAATATCAGTGAGTGTTCTGGCAGGGGCATGGATTTGGAAGAGCTCAGTCAGGTACTTGGGGGAGCCATTAAGAGCTTTAAAAACAAACAAAATTTTAAAATCTATTTTAAAAGCAAGCCAGTGTACTGAAGCTAGAATGGTGATAATAGATCAATTGGTGCGAATAAATTAATAAAGACAATGTATATAAGTAATAACTACGTTTCTAATGCATCTGTTTCGATATTTTGTTTAACCAAGCCCAACTTGAGCTAAGAGATTGACAGGAAGTTCCTGTTAAATAGATTGAACTTCTCCAGGAAGTGTGTTTGAAATCTGCCCTGGTATGTTTACTGCAGGGGTCGGCAACCCGCAGCTCCGGAGCCTCATGCGGCTCTTTAGCGCCCCCCTGGAGCTTTTTCAAAAATGTATGAACATTTTATTGTTGCTGTAGATTGTATAATATGGTGTGCAGGAGGTCAAACAAAAATTCCTTATGTTTTCCAACGGCGTCAATATTTGTGTAATAAATAAATGTAAAAATTAAGATAAAACTTCCAACGAAAATTTGCGTCATAGCCATAGACATCAATGGTTATAGCCTGCAACACACGCTTTAGCGCAGCGCCGGAGAAACAAGAGCAGCAAGTGTGTCTTGGGCCATGGATCCCAAAAGAATTACAAAAAAAAAGGAAGATACCTGATAAGAACAGAGGATTCTTCTTATTTGCATAGTCCTTTTTTAAAGTGGGCTAATACACTTAGAGCCCGTGTTGCCATACTAGGTTTATATAAGACTTTTACATTTTTGCAGCTCCAGACAGATTTGTTTTGTGTTTTATTTTTTGTCCATTATAGCTCTCTGAGCAATTTGGGTTGTCGACCCCTGTTTTACTGCAACCCCGCTGACAAAACAGAGTAATGGCACCAAAAACGAACTTCTACCTTTGCTCAGCTTTAAACATGGCAGTGATCCATGACTTCTATTCTTTTTGCTTTTCACGCTTTATTCCATGAATGTGCTTTCAGAGGCAAGTCACAGCCATTAAAACTTTCCCAACTTCTCTGACCATGCCAGTGAAGGAACTAAGTACCCTCTAATCATTAGACTGATGCCTACCTGCTAGCATGAAACACTAATAATAATAAACGTGCTGTGCCGGTCACACAGAAAGGAAGGCAACGGTTCCAAGGAAGCAGATAAACAACACTGACGTGCTTTCTTGTTCTCAAAACACAAGGTTACCTTGGTGTGTTTCTTCAAAGTGAGTGTCAGTGGAAGGGTGACAGGTTTAATTAAGGGGTATGGGCAATGTGCTTCCAACAGAGAGCCTCCGAAAAAGAAAAAGAAAAGAGCCAGCCATTGTTAGCTCCAGCTCCGGGGAAGTCTCAGCGCTGGCTGAAGATCAGACAAAGGGTGCCGTCAATACCAGCACTCTCACATTGACGCTAGCAGGGGGCGAGCGGGCCTGACTGGGGCTAATGGTAATTGTGACCTTTTTTCGCTAGGAGCCACTAAACGGGTCCTTTTCAAGTAGCTATTTGATCCTTTCATTCAATTACTGCAGATGGATTCTTCCAGGTGAAAGCTGAGCCTCTTGTTTGCTCTGATGGAGCTTTTTTTGTTTTTACGTGCAGCCAGACGGATGAAGCGAGCCCAATTCTTCCTTCAATATCATCGGAGGGAGAATAATTACTAAAGGGCTCAGATAGTTAAGTGTTTTCCAGGTTTTTATCTGTAAGGAAAATGAAACATTGCAGAAAAAGCTTTTGTGTTTCCTGGATTAAATGCTTTCCATCCAAATCTGCTCTCTAAACGCCTTGTTGGAATATCTCTAACCCTTTATTAGGCAAGTTAGCATTTTTGATGACTCAGTGAGGTCTAGAAGCACAAGATCTATATCCAGCCATTCCGCAAAGATCCCGCTACATGGCTGTACATCTGATTATGGCATTTGACCAATGAGATTAACCCTTCAATGATATATAACCTACTGTAAATTAAGTTGAAAAAAAAAGGTAACAAGTCAAGAAAAAAGGTAATTTAAAAGTAAAAAAGTAAAGTTAAAAGTTAATACGAATCCGTGTATGGTTCGTTCTTTGTTTTTTTCCGTTTCAAAACAAAACAAGCTTGTGGTTTTTCTGTTTTTCCATTTTTAAAACCTAAATCGAAAAAATGAAACATCGAATCAATAGAAAATCAACAGCATTTGAGTTTTGTTTTGCCATCTAAATGAAAATAAAATACGGTTGTCGTTTTAATATGTAGCGGTACCGGAAATGAAGTAAGTCGCCAAAGAAAAATGATTTACAGTGGATGAAGACGGCATCAAAACAAACCATTTCTAAACAAAAGGCAATGGCTGCACTTAAACCGTTTTCTGCATCGATTATCGAACTTTTGAGAGAGGAAAAACACACTCTGAAATCAGTGATGCTTTGAGTCGCCATGGAGCCCCTCATTACTCGGTAATGAGTGTCAGAAGGTTTCGTATGGAGCACAACTTGCGAAGACACAACAATGTGTCGGACGCCGATTTGGAACTTGGAATATTAAATGTTGACGGTCAGATCATTAGCTCTCAAAGAAATGCGCCGATTCCCTCTAAATAACACAAACCATTTTGGTAGTGCTAACTGAAAAAGTTCTTCTTCTTGTGGATTGTAATGGCGGTTGGCAAGAAATTGAAAGCGTACATTACCGCCACCTACTGGTAACTAAAAAAAATATGTGTTGGGAGTTCAGGTCTTCATTTACGGTTCTGCCATAACGTCCGTTGAATTAACAACAAAATAAAAGTTTGTCTTTGGTTTAGCCATTGCAGTAAAAAAAAAAAGTACCCTTTTTTCATTTTTGCAAATGCCGTTTTTCTAATTTCGTTTTAAAAAACGGAAAAACAAAAAAACCACATGCTTGTTTTGTTTTTTTCGTTTTTGTTTTGAAACAAAAAAAAAACAAAGAACGAACAATACACGGGTTAATACGCCTAGTTAACAACTATATTTCGGCTTATAAACTAAAAAACTGTGAGCGCCATTATCAGCATTAATGCCTCTAAGGTTATGTCGTACCAAAACAAAAAATGTGTTTCTTTCAATTTTTTTATTAATTTCATATAGAAGCACTATTGTTATTCGGGCAAGTCGGTGTTTCTTGTTATTACATTTTTGCCCTCATGTTACAAAGGTAATAAGGTCTTATCCTGTATTCTAATAACACTATTGGCTTGAAATATAGTATTTAATTGAATGACCTGTAAAGGATTAATAATGTTAAATCATGACATAATGATGTGTTTCCTTGTTGCATGTGTTATGAGTGAAAAAAAAACAAAATAAAAACACATGCCCCCTCTCTAACTACTCCACATCTGTGTATTCTGTGTTTTCTCCTGTGACCAGGTCAGGAAGAGTGGGCAAACAGTCGCGGCAAGGCTCCGTCGGTGCGGACAACCAAGGGAGCTTACAGGGATCAGCCATACTCCAGATATTGAACTGTTTATGCAAGCCGCGCCCCAGTCCTCATGGCAGTTTCAACTCAAGTAATGGATTTTTTTATGGACGCTTCCCACCTTTTTAGAATTGAAAACCAATCTGCAAAGTAACACAAACAAAGCGCCGAACTGAAAGTAACGGAATCCCCCCCCCCCTCCCAATGATAAAGAAATCGTACTGACTTGGTATAAAAAATCAGTAAAGCTATCTAGGTAAGCTATCCCTCCATCCCAATATAGAGTCGACAGAAGTATAAGGCTAAGAAAGACTCCATAGTACTTTAAGTTCCTCTCTCAGCTATGTGATTGTGAAGAATGACATCGTATCAAGCTATTGTCCTCGATAAAGATCAGTGAGCCGCTCTAAGCTGGTGGGTCCAGTGTTTCCACACAGCTGCCAGTGGACCCTAATTTATCACCCTCTATTCTTTAGACCTTTGAAATGTTAGTAGATTAGTTCTAGGAAAGTGCAGTACTGTAGATATTTTCTCCCGAAGGATAATTGGTGAACTTTGTGTCCCTTGTAAATGAACATTTACAAACTGAAAAAAAGAAGAAGAGAGAAGTCATTCTGTATACACATTGTATCGCTGTTTCTTCCTTTTTTATGTAAAATAACAGTCCAGTTAGTGTTAAAGGGCTTATAAAAGCATGGTGTGCAAATGTGGATCTCGCCAGCTGTTTAAAAGCCTGTGTAGTTGTGCTCATTCGTTAAGCCCCCCCCCCCCCCCCCCCCCCCCCCCCCCCCCAAACATCTCCTTAAGTCCATCTTTAAATAGCAGCACTGAATTTCTGTACCCTCATCCACCATAGCTGCTAAATAGTTTGGGAGATTTAAAATGTCTGTCAATTTTTTTTTTTTTAGATGCTCCCACTGAGCAAATTGTGATGCCCTTTCTTTTTTTTTTCTTTTTTTATATATATAAAACATGATATTGTGCTGATAAAAAGTTTACAACACACCAGGATCGACATGAATGTCATAAAGCTCTGAGCATTAAGGATGGGTTTAAAGTGTTTTTTTTCTGGGTTTTAAACATAAAACTGGTTGCACAACATTGAATTCATTGTTGACTTACTTGAAAGTTGTAGAGAGGCTCAAATTGGTACAAATGCGATGACTAATTTGTTCAGATATGGGTTTTTTTTCCAAGTTTCTGAGAATCAACAATTTTTTTTTGGGGGGGGGGGTTTGCCATAAATCTGCCTCAAAGTTTGACACAATTCAGCAGAAGTTCATCTTATTATAAGCAGTAGTTTTATGAAGCGATGCATGGTGCATGGGGGAGTGTTGGCCTAGAGGGTTAGAGCAGTGGGCAAGTACCCGGTTTGATCCCCATTGCCTGCACTCTGGGTCCCTGAGCAAGACCCTTACCCCGAAATCCCACATCCTCTGTCAGCGTCCCGCTGCGCTCCAAACCGCTTGCGCAAAGCAAAGCCTACAGCCTCCGCTGTTCTTCCCGTCTTGCTGCGTTCCATCTTCTGTGGAGCATGCACGATATTATCATTAAATTCATAGGAGCAAAACAGAAATTAACGTTTAATTTTAATATGACACATTAATAAAAATCCCCATCAGCATCCAGTGTATGTGCAGTTTTTGCCCAAATATTTTCTTTTTGTTGTGGATTTTTGTAACAGGCCTAACTAGGATCAAACAAAATAGTTTTTTATGAACTGTTTGTTCTCTACGTCCAAACTCAGCATCTCTCTATCAAGGTCTGTGATAAGAAGTTCCTTTTGACTGGATGTGATGAAACTTTTAAACCTCTCGGTATAAAATAAACATTTTGATGGAGATGATAAATCTGCCTCCTGGTATGTTGAAGTTACCAATAGTTTGCATCCAATCATTTAATTAAACGGTCTTAGTTTTTGGGAATATACAAGAATTATGCTCTAATTTGTAGCTACTGATCTGTCGTTACCATGTTTTAATGTGACAAATCAGATCTTCTCAACGTTCTTTTTCCTGTTGGTGTGATTGGAATTACGGATCTTGACCTGACCGGCCGGGGCAGAGCAAAAAATAGCTTGGCTCTGTATTTTGATGGTGACGGATGAGGAATACGTACGTGAACGGTGAATTTCGGAGGAGTAGCGGTGGATATGGAACAGCTTTCGTTGATTAACATGACAGTACATGAACAGGGCGAAGTGCTGACGGAGGATGTGGAATCTGAGGGTTAACCCCACACTGCTCCCCGGGCGCCGCACAGTGGCAGCCCTCTGCTCCCCAAGGGGATGGGTTAAGATGCATTCTCCAATGTGAGAACAATAAAGGTGAATTATTCAATCATTATTATTATATGTAAAGGCGTAGCAGTTCCACCATAAACAGACGCTAATAGAGACCTAATCACAGTCCTATGGGGTTCAATTCATGACCTTGAGTCATTTGCTTAAGGTCTCCCCCATTTTTCTTCCTGCCTTTTTTTTGTCTGTAAAGATCATTATTACCAAAACACAAAAAATACATAAGACACCAACTTTTTAAAGGGTTGAGGGTCTAAACCACATGTTGTTGTTTGTTTTGGATCGATGCCATCCTGGAAGGTGGTATTTATGGAAGAAAAACAAAGCGTTAATGGTTTTCTTTAGCAGTTTTCAGATGAACAGCTTTGTTTATTTGCAACACATCAGAACTTTCTCCTGAAACAACTGTCTGAATCCTGAGATTTGACCTTAAAAAACTGGTCTAGGAGAGGATCTAACACCAGGAAACCTCATGCAGGTCTGTGTGATTCACTGACTTCCAGAGATTTGTTTGTCCGTGCTGTTTGGCTTTGAGAGAGGTTAGTATGAAGATGCAAATAATTTTAACCTTATAGTCTTAAAATCCTCATAAATAAGACTGAACCACTAATGTGTCCAACTTCCACCCGCCTTCAGGTGGAGGGAAATTAAACAGGATGCTTAAAGCAACACTGTGTAACTTTTGACCCAAATATCAGCTTAATCTATATATAATAAATGATTTTTCAGCTCATATGCAGGACCTATCGATGCTCCATACGAGCTGCTATTCTCTAAAACACACTCAAAGAAATCATGTGACTTAAAACTTTACTTTAAAGCAGTCTCAGGTCACTTTAAACATTAGAGCTAACGAGCCTAAAAGTTATTGTTAGCCAACAAAACACATCTGACACTCAGCTTATCAGATTTAACGTTTATTTTCTGATGTAGAATTTAATCTAGATGGGTTTAAGCGGCCTTGTTTTCACAAAGTCGTGATTTCAAAACACAGTGGGAGGATGTTTATTTTAGTTACAATCAGTGGCGCATCATCAAATAGGGGGCTCCAGATTGGGCCACTAAAAGTCTTTGAGAGGCATAGTGAAACTGAAAGCCATAATTTCAGGGTTTGAATCTACTATTGTGGTAAACCTGCTGTAGAAATCTGCTCATATCTTGGTTTATTGTGTGATTTTTAAAGGGGTGATAGAATGACTATATAGGTTATTTGTTGCTGGTCCTTAAGGTCTCTGAATAGGGTGTGTAACATTGGTTGGGCTGAAATTGAGCCCTAATGCAAGCCTGGTTAAAAGCCCTAGAGTGAAACGACAGCTTTTCTTCCTTTTATGGTATGCTAATGAATATTTAGATGGGCTGTGCACTGATTGATTGGTTTACAACGAGCAAAGCTGCTGAGCAAAGACGCATCATAGCAACAAGCACTCACTCACTGAAACATCAAATTGTTGACATGGTAGGGTGACCAGACGTCCGCTTTTTCCGGGACTTGTCCTACTTTTCATACCTGTGGAGTAAAAATGAGCACTGAGAGAAATGAAGAAAAGGTTTTATTTTTCTCTGCAGAGGAGAACCACACGAGACAGCTGCGTACAGCTCTCAGTGTGATTCTAAAGCATTCAGAAACACACCCCTACATTTAAAAAGAATCCACAGCATAAACACACATGAACATTGAATCTTCCCAAGAGAATCACTTCATCAAAAGACATAAATATATGTTCAGATAAACATTTCAGACAACTGTTTTCCGTTCACACCAGAGACAGGACGTGAGGATCTTATACACAATAAGGACCTGTTTATCTATGTTTCCCCCTTATCTAACCTAGGGAGGAAACTCCTTTTTAAACCTCCTTCCTTTCCCTACAGCTCAGCATAAAGAATCGAACAAAATAATATTCAAAAGGAAAGAAAAGGCACACTAACATTTTATCAGGCCAAGGAAGAAATATGAATCCATATACCTAAAAAAATGTCCGGGGACTTTGGTCGACTACAGTGCAGCCCGTAGTCGAAACACACCGGGCGCTGGAACCATGCCGTCAGCCCTGGGGCTGGTCAGGGGCAGGGAGGGGGCAGGGAACCAGTGGGGGACAGAGCGACCAAACCTGACCCGATGACGGTAGCCTTGACACAGGCAGCCCTGTGCTTCCATCTGAGGATGGAAGGGCGGCTCATGGCTCTCTGCTGAGGTCCGATCCAGTCAGCGGCCCAGCAGTCAACACTTCATACCCATCCTCCCTCCCTTCCCTCCCTTGAGCCAGTGAACCAGTGGGCTGGTCTGTATGTCAATTTCGGGGCGTGACAAAAGTCCAGGCCAGAACCAAATAACACAACATCCATGAGTTTACGTCAACTCGGAATTCGCCCGTTTCATGGTGGAAGTTTAGAAATGTGAGATTTGCAAAGAAAGGAGGTGTCGATGGGGTTTGAACCTCTCCGTACGCCCCTTTCACCCACTAAACTATCGTTATTCATCTATGACATGGTAAACTCGGTTTTGCATTCTATGACCCCTTTAATGTTACGTCACTGGCTGTGCATAATGGCATGAAATGAAACTGATGCCACTAAAATTTACACTATCGAGTGGGGTGGCCAGGAGCCTCCTGCGCCTGGTGGTGCTACAGTGTAATGCTACCAGTTGCTAGTTAAGTTGCAATAATATCCATCAAATCAGAGGCAAACTAAGCACCAGGTTCCACAATGAGGCTAATTTATAAAAAATTCCATCAAAACAGGAAGAATTATACCAGAAACTTAGCCAAAAAACTTTGTAGCCTTTCTAGAACTTGCTATAGGACATTTAACTAAAGAGGTATATGATAAGTATATAATTAAGCTTATTTGTGTAATTTTGACTCTATATAATCCCAAACAGATTTCAACTTGTGCCACCAGTTTTTGTTGTTGT